AATATGAAAGCCATCTCAAAAACATAAATTTGAATTGATCATGGATTTCCTCCCAAGAACACAGAGGTTTTATACAGGACTTGTACAGTCCCCTCCAAGAGTGTTGAACATTTTGGGTTTGACAAATCAAAGAAAATAGAGCAACTTTTGTGCTTTTATGTCTATATTTAAGACATTTCAGAAGATGGCAAATTTCAACAGAAGCAGGAGTTTTTACTTAAAGCTGTCCTGAAAACAGCCTCCAGAGTGTAAACTGTCTAAAAGAAATGATCTGAAATGTACAACCTCGTTTGTGAAACAGAGCAGAGTGTGTATGCACACCCATGACCACTGTTGTAACCAGAAATGCTCAGGGACATTTGAGCTGACGGGCTCAAATGTATAGTTTTTATAGAACTATAAAAACTAAAAAGCCGATTGAAAATCTACAGGACACGACTTAAATCACCATATTTAAAAGAACTCAGTCGTTTCTATCAAGAAAAGTCATCAAATATCCAAGCAGAGTTACAGGCCTGATGGTTACATTATACAGTTGCTCTGGGATTTTTTTTTTCTTTGGTTAAAAAAGCTGATTTTGTAGCGATACTTTAGATATCTTGGCAAGTAATTTGCCACCTGTCTGCCTTATTAAACCCCTTCCAAAAGTACCTCATTGCAAGTTATGCAAAAATAATTGACCTCCGCCCTTTCCCAGTTTTTGTGCCAATGTATGACGGTAAATGTAACTTTTTGTCCCTCTCCATATAAATCTCCCACTACAAATTGACATCAAGTTAATGAGGTAGAAGTAAAAACTACTGCCACCTGCAGGTTGTAGTTAGCATCACATGAATCCAATGTTTTTGACCATTTTTGCAGAAAATTTGTATGGAGCCCTCATGGGATTTTATTTCCTTTTGCGTTCCCTAGCAAAAGGTTTTGGCATGAAGTTCATGGGGTATAACTGAATATTGTAAGCCTTCCTTACGGTGTCCGCTGTACTTTCTGCTTTAATACAAGGTTATGTAAGGGTTTTCCATGAATGTTAATATCTCCTTGTGAAATATATGAAGTTTTACATCTTTTTCTTTAGTTAATGCACCACAAACCTATGATATAAACAGAAACTTTCCGTAAGTAGGAAAGAAATAAAAATACATCCAAAGTATTTGGACTATTTCTGATTTATTATCATGGGGTAATCAGTCATCTGACAGTTTTGATTGTGTCTCTATTATGCTGGTAATCTGAATGGTTTAAAGGGTGTGGTTTAGTTTAACATTCATGGAAAAACCTTACATGAACTGATCAGTACATTATTGCGAAGGAATGCAAAAGAAAAAAAAAATTCCCATGTCCCCTGAAGGGCTCGTTAAATTTGCAATCAACTCACA